TGTTCCCAGTCTGGATCCCAGTCTGGATCCCAGTCTGGATCCCAGTGGTATTCCCAGTCTGGATCCCAGTGGTGCTCCCAGTCTGGATCCCAGTGGTGCTCCCAGTCCGTGCAGGAGCAGATGGAAGCATGGAGAGCACCTGGAGCAGCCCCAGGTGCTTCCAGGCTGGAGGAATTCCATCCCACAGGAGCCATTCCCAGGTCTCTGGAAGCCCTTGGGGACATCCCTGGTCACTGTCACCACCGTCCCATCAGAGCCTGAGCTCTCCACCCACACCACGGCCACCAGCACTTCCCGTCTTGATGGAACACCAGTCCAGGTTCCCATCCCAGCACCTGCCCTTTGGAAAACCATCCTGACCAGAGCCATCCTGTGGGATTTGCTCCAGGGCCTTCCTCATCTTCTTCCTCCCAGTCAGAGCCTGGCTAAACCTTGCTCATCCAACAATCCAGGCCTTTTCCCGGAGACAGCAGCTGCTCCTGTGGGATCCCTGAGCACAGCCCCACCCAAACTTCCCAACTTCTCCAAGAAATGGAGCACATTTGGACACATCCTTTAATTTTAAGCAGGTGCAGCAGCAATAATACTGCACCTGCAGCAAATTCCAGCCAAGACAGAACTTTGCTAACCTGCCTGAGCCAGGAGAAGCTGAATTCCAGGACCTGGTGTTCCTCCCAAATTCCCAGCTCACGTGCACCCACTTATACCCCTTGTTGGGCAATTAAAATTATGCAAGTAGCTGCTTATCAAAGCTGAAGCAATTAATTAGAATGAAATACTTTTAGGGGAAATAAGCCTTGCCTTATTCCCAAATTCTTGGAGGAACATGTGTGTGGGAGCTGGGATGCTGCAGCTTGTCGTGGTGTGTTGTTGTCCAGGACTGGCAGGGCCTTGGGGTGGCAGTTCTGGCAACCTTTTTATTCCCAAAAAAAGCTGATTTTAGGACCTACCTGCTCCAGACATCCACAGTTTTCAGTGCTCTCCCTCCAGGCTTGAGGCAGCCCCAGCCCAGGGACAGGAAGAACCTCCTGCCCCACTACCAGGGCTTTCCAGCCCTGTTTTTCCCTGGAAACACCGACCTTGATGTTTTTGAGGGAGCAAACAGCTCCCAAAATCCCTCTGCCTCCTTCCCTGGCAAGGCAGCATTCCCAGCCACCCCCATCGCACTCATTTAGCGCTTTCCTCCTTCTCCTTTCTCACCTGTGTGGGGGCACCTGCTGGGCTGCTCCTTCCTTCTCCGGAGCTTTTCCCCAAGCATCCATTTTTTCCTATCAATATTTTGGCCCTCATTCCTGTTTCTGTGGTGGATTTGGGGCCAGCGCTGCCTCCTAAGCCCAGGCTGTTCCTTCCCACACCTGCAGCCCCCGGCACTGTCCTGTCACCGGGGTCCATCCCCTCCTGGGCTCACCTGTCACCCCTGTCCTGCCTCGAGCCCCACTTTTCCCAGCCCTGCCATCCCCATGGCACCTGCATCTGTGTGCAGGGATCCAGGGGGGTCATCAGCTCCCTGAATCCCGGCCCAGGTATGCTCCCAGCACATCCCAACCCGCTGGACCACTGTGCCCCTGCTCGGGGCTGGGAGGAGAACTGGGTCAGCCGTGTAACCATGGAGATGCTGAGGGAGATGCTGAAGCAGCGCCAGCGCAGCCCCGGCTCTCCAGAACCCTGGAAAGATTCACGTACCCTGGCACCCTCCGGATCCGGCCGGGATGGGGCTGGGAAGCTGAGCCGAGCCACCTCCTCCCCGCCGCAGGGCCGGTAAGACACCTCCATCTCCTCTTTTTTTTTTTTTAATATTTTTTTGGGGGTGCCAGGAGCGGGGAGGGGCAGAGCTCGGCCCCCGCGCCGCCGCGATCCAAACGCAACAGGGATCCCGTTTTTCCTGACGCTTGGCTCATCCATCGGCGCCAGGCGCTGAGGGATGCTCCAGCCATGACACGGCTCCCGGCGGTGTCCGGGGGCTCCGTGCATTCCTCGGGATCCGGGTTTGGCTCGCTCGGGAACTTCCCGGGGCTGCCGGTGGTCGTTGTTTCCCGCAGGGACGGAGCGTGGTCGCGGTAAGCGCTGCGGGGGCTGCGGCGCTGCCCTGGCAGCTCGGGAATGCGTTCTCATGGCACGGCAGGAGCGGGCTTGGATGCGGCGTCACGGTGGTTTGGGACACAGGGAATAAATACATGGAGGGGAAGGGGGAAATGTGTGTTTGAAGGGAAAAGCGATGCGGTTCCCTGACTCCCGCCGCGCTGCCGGGAAGGGGGAGATGGGGCAGGGGCAGCAGCGGGGCTGGGGGTGCAGCAGTGGGCTGAGGGGGCTGTGGTGGCCTCGGGGGTGCTGTGGTGGCCTCGGGGGTGCTGTGGTGGCATCAGGAGTTCAGCAGCCACGCCAAAGATGCTGTGGTGGTGCTGAGGATGCCATGGCCATGCCGAGGATGCTGTGGTGGCGCCAAGGATGCTGTGGTGATGCTGAGGGTACTGTGGTGATAACTGAGGATGCTCTGGCCATGTTGAGGGAACTGTGGTGGTGCTGAGGATGCTGTGGCCATGCTCAGGATGCCATGGCCATGCCAAGGATGCTGTGGTGGCACCAAGGATGTTGTGGCCATGCTGAGGGCACTGTGGTGGCACCGAGGATGTTGTGGTTGTGCTGAAGATGCTGTGGCCATGCCAAGGATGCTGTGGTGGCACCAAGAACCCTGTGGTGGTGCTGAGGGCACTGTGATGGTGCTGAGGATGCTGTGGCCATGCTCAGGATGCTGTGTCCATGCCAAGGATGCTGTGGTGGCACCAAGGATGCTGTGGTGGTGCTGAGGGCACTGTGGTGGTGCTGAGGATGCTGTGGCCATGCTCAGGATGCTGTGGCCATGCCAAGGATGCTGTGGCTGTGCCAAGGCTGGCTCAGCTGTGACAGCCACAGGCTCCAGCACTCAAACCCAGTCTCCAGCTCAGCTTATCTCAGCACCATGCACCCCCCAACCCTTCTACCCAGCACCCACTCTGGGCAGAAACAGATTGTGCAGAGAGATACGGGGTAAAATCATGGGCAGGGGAAAGCAAATCCTCCCTTTGGGCTGAGGAGTGCGCTCGGCTTCCTTTGCGGCGGATTATCCCTGTGTGTGTTGCATTGGAAATGATCCCATTAGTGCTGTGCTCTCCTGATCTAATTTGCTCCCAGCAGAGCCTGGTGCTCTCCGGGTGGCTGGAGTGCTGAGTGGGGAGCAGCAACAGGAGCCTTTTGTGTTCTCCTGGCCCAACAGGGCTGGGTTATTCCAGGGATTTCTCACCTGGAGCATGGGGGGGCCTGGGCTGGGCCTGGCTGAGCCCTCGTGCAGAGGGATTTGTGTTTGTTCAGGCACAGCCGAAACCACGTGTGCCTGTAGGGAAACTGAGGCACGGGGTGCAGCAGGGCGCTGTGGTTGGGGAAGTGGTTGGGATCCATTCCCTGTGTCAGGTGCATCCTAAGGAAAAACTCAGAGATTGCAGCAGTTTCAGGGCCTGAGAGTGGCAGGAGGCGTTAGAAAGTGTCATCCCAAAGGTCCCCAAGGCAGCGGATCAGCCCTGACCCCTCCTCCAGGAGGTGCTGTACATCGGCACATGGCTGTGATGGGATGCACCTGATGCCACTGGCTCCATCCCTCTGCAGCTGGGACCTATCCCACACCAATGGCTTTTCCCAAAGGGTTCCATCCCTCTGGAATGGGGCTCATCCCACAGAAACAGCTTTATCCCACAGGATCCATTCTTCTGGAGTGGGGCTCATTCCACACCGACAGTTTTATCCCAGAGGATCCATCCCTGCGGAGCTGGGGGTCCGTGCTGAGCCCCCTGGGCACGAGGAGTGGGGGGAAGGCCATGGGTCAGTGCCCGGGCAGAGCCAGGAGAGAAAACCCCAGCCAGGAGGGAGCTCATTAATGATATTAATGACTAATCACCCACTCACCCCTGGAACTATTAAATCCACGAGTTCAGTGGTGCTGGAGCTGATCCCACAGCTCCTGTCAGATCTCATCCATGATTCCCACCAGGTCTCATCCCAGCTGTGCCTGCTGTGGAGCATCAGAGCCCTCCCCCGCCCCACTCCCCATCCCACAGCTTTCCCCCGCTCGTGTCCATCCCTCTCTCCTGAAAGGGAAACATTTTTCCAGGCATTGCCTCCATCCATTATCACAAAGTGGCTTCACTTGGCCTGCAGTTAATAATTCACCTTTCCCTGGAAGATGGATGCTCCATTCTGCTGGAGTTTAAATATTCATGGGCAAGGGAAGGCAGCAGGGCCGTGTGGGAGGTCTGCCATCCACCTCCAGTGCTCCTGGCCCCCTGGCACTCCAGGGATCCCTGGAATCACCTGGAGCAGGCTGTCCTGGACACGGTTTGGAGAAGGGGATGTGCAGGGAAAGCTTGGCTGGATGTGAATTTGGATGTCCTAAGGGGTGGATGGCACTGACCCCTCCCTCATCCCTGGCTGGGCAGGTTGGTGACACTCAGAGCCTTCTGCCCATCCAGGTCTCTCCTGGATGCTGGAAGTGTCCAGGTCCCTCAGAGAGTTGAGGCAGAGCTGGACGTTCCCCCCAGGGGTCCTGATCCCTTCCCGCTGCTCCCATGGGTGGGGAAAAATCTTGGAATATACTGAGATGAAAGGGATCCACAAGGATCATCCAGTCCAACCCTTGGCCCTGCACAGACACCCCAAAATCCCACCCTTTACATCCCTGGCAGCGCTGTCCAAATGCTCCTGGAGCTCTGGCAGCCTCAGGAATGTTCCCATTCCCTGGGGAGCCTGGGCAATGCCCATCCCTCTGTGGGGAAAAACCTTTTCCTGATTTCCAGCCCTCAGTAGGTCGTGCCACCTGAATTTCCCGGATTTGCGGACACTGACGGCACCACCCATCCCTGTGGGGACGCGCCAGGGATGCCACAACCTCTGTCACCCCTCAGCGTCCTCCACTTGTCCCCAACAGCTGATCCCGGGCAGCAGAGCCGGTGGCGGTGCCGGCGGACGTGCTGACCATGTTCAACGGGGATGCCAGCTCCTCATCCGCCAGGAATGTGGTGCGCAGCTCCAGCATCAGCGGCGAGATGTACAACCTGGAGAAGAGCGCGCGCGGCAGCGCCGACTCCGTCACCGTCACCGCCAGCAAGAAGCGACGCTCCAGCCTGGGCGCCAAGATGGTGGCGATTGTGGGGCTGTCCCAGTGGAGCAAGAGCACCCTGCAGCTCAACCAGACTGGTGAGAGGCCACCCTCAGCCCCCTCCTGGGGTTTTGGGTGGCCGCCACTCGTGCTTTCGTTGCCCACTGCCCACGTGTGATGGAGGCACTGGGAAACGGCACCCAAAAAACGACACCCAAAAAAATGGCACCTACAAATGGCACCTAAAAATGGCACCTAAAAAACTACACCCAAAAATGGCACCTAAAAATGGCACCTGAAAAGTGGCGCCTGAAAACGGCACCCAAAAAACTGCGCCTGAAAATGGCACTTAAGAATGACACCTAAAAATGGCACCTGAAAAGTGGCGCCTGAAAACGGCACCCAAAAAACTGCGCCTGAAAATGGCACTTAAGAATGACACCTAAAAATGGCACCTGAAAAGTGGCGCCTGAAAACGGCACCCAAAAAACTGCGCCTGAAAATGGCACTTAAGAATGACACCTAAAAATGGCACCTGAAAAGTGGCGCCTGAAAACGGCACCCAAAAAACTGCGCCTGAAAATGGCACTTAAGAATGACACCTAAAAATGGCACCTGAAAAGTGGCGCCTGAAAACGGCACCCAAAAAACTGCGCCTGAAAATGGCACTTAAGAATGACACCTAAAAATGGCACCTGAAAAGTGGCGCCTGAAAACGGCACCCAAAAAACTGCGCCTGAAAATGGCACTTAAGAATGACACCTAAAAATGGCACCTGAAAAGTGGCGCCTGAAAACGGCACCCAAAAAACTGCGCCTGAAAATGGCACTTAAGAATGACACCTAAAAATGGCACCTGAAAAGTGGCGCCTGAAAACGGCACCCAAAAAACTGCGCCTGAAAATGGCACTTAAGAATGACACCTAAAAATGGCACCTGAAAAGTGGCGCCTGAAAACGGCACCCAAAAAACTGCGCCTGAAAATGGCACTTAAGAATGACACCTAAAAATGGCACCTGAAAAGTGGCGCCTGAAAACGGCACCCAAAAAACTGCGCCTGAAAATGGCACTTAAGAATGACACCTAAAAATGGCACCTGAAAAGTGGCGCCTGAAAACGGCACCCAAAAAACTGCGCCTGAAAATGGCACTTAAGAATGACACCTAAAAATGGCACCTGAAAAGTGGCGCCTGAAAACGGCACCCAAAAAACTGCGCCTGAAAATGGCACTTAAGAATGACACCTAAAAATGGCACCTAAAAATGACACCCCAAAAATGGCACTGAAAAATGGCACCTGAAAAGTGGCACCTGAAAATGACACCTAAAAAATGGCACCTGAAAAGTGGCACCTGAAAATGACACCTAAAAATGGCACTGAAAAATGGCACCTGAAAAGTGGCACCTGAAAATGACACCTAAAAATGGCACTGAAAAATGGCACCTGAAAAGTGGCACCTGAAAATGACACCTAAAAATGGCACTGAAAAATGGCACCTGAAAAGTGGCACCTGAAAATGACACCTAAAAATGGCACTGAAAAATGGCACCTGAAAAGTGGCACCTGAAAATGACACCTAAAAATGGCACTGAAAAATGGCACCTGAAAAGTGGCACCTGAAAATGACACCTAAAAATGGCACTGAAAAATGGCACCTGAAAAGTGGCACCTGAAAATGACACCTAAAAATGGCACTGAAAAATGGCACCTGAAAAGTGGCACCTGAAAATGACACCTAAAAATGGCACTGAAAAATGGCACCTGAAAAGTGGCACCTGAAAATGACACCTAAAAATGGCACTGAAAAATGGCACCTGAAAAGTGGCACCTGAAAATGACACCTAAAAATGGCACTGAAAAATGGCACCTGAAAAGTGGCACCTGAAAATGACACCTAAAAATGGCACTGAAAAATGGCACCTGAAAAGTGGCACCTGAAAATGACACCTAAAAATGGCACTGAAAAATGGCACCTGAAAAGTGGCACCTGAAAATGACACCTAAAAATGGCACTGAAAAATGGCACCTGAAAAGTGGCACCTGAAAATGACACCTAAAAATGGCACTGAAAAATGGCACCTGAAAAGTGGCACCTGAAAATGACACCTAAAAATGGCACTGAAAAATGGCACCTGAAAAGTGGCACCTGAAAATGACACCTAAAAATGGCACTGAAAAATGGCACCTGAAAAGTGGCACCTGAAAATGACACCTAAAAATGGCACTGAAAAATGGCACCTGAAAAGTGGCACCTGAAAATGACACCTAAAAATGGCACTGAAAAATGGCACCTGAAAAGTGGCACCTGAAAATGACACCTAAAAATGGCACTGAAAAATGGCACCTGAAAAGTGGCACCTGAAAATGACACCTAAAAATGGCACTGAAAAATGGCACCTGAAAAGTGGCACCTGAAAATGACACCTAAAAATGGCACTGAAAAATGGCACCTAAAAATGACACCCCAAAAATGACACCTGAAAATGGCACTGAAAAATGGCACCTAAAAAACTACACCTAAAAAAAAAAAAAGATACACCTAAGAAATGAAACCCCCCCAAAAATACACCTAAAAAATTACACCTAAAAACTACACCTAAAAAATTATACACAAAAAATACACCTATAAAATGACACCTAAAAAACTACACCTAAAAAACAAAAAAGACACACCTAAGAAATTAAAGAAATTAACCCCCCCCAAAAATACACCTAAAAAATTACACCTAAAAACTACACCTAAAAAATTACACCTAAAAAGTACACCTAAAAAATTACACCCAAAAACAACACCTAAAAAAAGCCACGGAAACCCTCCTTTTTAACCCCTCCCCACCCGAGTTTTAGGTGCCCACCCCTCATGCTTGGCCATGTGTGATGGAGACGCATAAAAACGCCACCTAAAAAAGGACGCCTAAAGAATGACATTCCAAAAAACACACGTAAAAAACGACACCTAAAAAAAGACACACACACACACACACGCACAAAAAAAAGACACTCAAAAAACCCGCCTAAAAATGACAGCCCAAAAAATACACGCAAAAAAAAAGATACATAAAAGAGTCACATAAAAAAAATGGCATTTTAACCCCCCCTGGCGCTTCTCCAAATGCCAGATTTGCAGGTGAGGATGTCGCTGGAGCTCTGCACAATTTCAGTGTCCTCTTCTCCAGTAACTCCCAGTCCTGGCTGCAGGCAGGAGCTTGGGGAAAGGACTTCTCCAATGCTCTGGCAAATATTGAAATGCTTAAAAATAGCTGTTCAAGGGGCAGGGGAAGCACCAAGCTCCTTTTAGTGCAAGCTTTCCCCCTGGTTATCGCTTTTTATCCCGCTCCTTCCTGCCATTCCATGATTTGGGAAAGGAAGAGTTAATCCAGAGCCCCCCGTCCGTCCGAGGTGGCTCTGAAGGGGTTAAATCGATCCCAAAAGCAGGAGCGGCAGGAGGGGACGTGGGGACAGCCCTGACCGAGCGGGACAGAGCTGGCGGTGCCACCACTCACACATGGTCACCCAGCAGGGCTCGGGGACAGTGCCAGGGCTGGCCGCTCATGCCACCCTCCTCCTCCTGCTGCCATCTGCCAGCGCTGGGGACACGTGGCGGGGACGAAAGGGGACATCGGGCAGCTTTGGGGCTGTGCCCACACCTGTGGCATTGCGGGTTCCTGTCCCCTCTGGCACGGGGACATCGGGCAGCTTTGGGGCTGTGCCCGCACCAGCGGGTTGCTGTCCCCTCCAGCGTCCCAGGGGACAGGGATTTTGGAGCTCCAGGGGAGGGATAAAGGGACATCAGGAGAGTTGGGGCTGTGCCACTGAGGGTCGTTGTCCCTCCTGGCACGGGGACAGGGATTTTGGAAGCCAAGGGGATGGAGAAAGGGGACACCGGGAGTTCTGACATCGTGGGGTGCTGTCCCCTCTGGCACAGGGACAGAGGCACGGGGGGCTCTTGGAGGCCAAGGGCTGGAGAAAGGGGACACGAGGCAGCTTTGGGGTTGTGCCCACACCTGCAGGTTTCTGTCCCCTCCCCACGGGGACAGGGGCACAGGGAGGGTGTAGAACTGGGACATCAGGAGCGCTGGGGCTGTGGCATTGCGGGTTCCTGTCCCCTGTGGCACGGGGATTTTGGATCCCACACTTGTGGGATGATTAGGTGTCAGTCGCAGAGGGGACAATCGAAGGCACGGTGACATTGGGACAGAGCGAGGCGGTGGCAGATGGGGTGGGGACACGGGCATTCGGAGCCAGCCCGTGGCTCTCCTCTCCTGCCGCACCGGGATGGCCGTGCGGGATCCCCTGGGAATTCACCCAGGGAACGGTGCGCAGCTCCCCGGGAATGCTGGAAAACAGGAGGGCGGGGAAGGGCTGAGGGCAGGGAACCGGAGCTGATCCCGTCTCCAATTGCAGAGGGAGGCCCCAAAAAGCTGCGCAGCACCATCCGCAGGAGCACCGAGACCGGCATCGCGGTGGAGATGAGGACCAGGGTGACCCGGCAGGGCAGCCGGGAATCCACGGACGGCAGCACCAACAGCAACAGCTCCGACGGCACGTAAGGAACGGGGCAGAGATTGGGAACGGCGCCGGGATCCCTCCCGGCGTGTCCCCCGCAATGGGCAGAGGGATGCTCCATGAAAATCCCTTGCAGGTTCATCTTCCCCACCACCCGGCTGGGAGCAGAGAGCCAGTTCAGCGATTTCCTCGACGGGCTGGGGCCGGGGCAGCTCGTGGGGCGGCAGACCCTGGCAACCCCCCCGATGGGTGAGCGGGGGCAGCGCCCGGGGGAGCTCCCGGAGGGAGGGAAGGGGGGGAAGAGGCCGCGTGTTTCTTCCCAGGGCCCCATCCCAGCACATCCCGGTCCGGGAACGCTTGGGAATGCTCTGCCTTGTACAGGGCAGCGTGCAGGGCTCAGGGCAGGGCATCCCTGGGAAGCAGCAGCTCTACCTTTTCCCGGGGCTTCCTTTTCCCGGAGCTTCCTTTTGGAGCGTCCTGGAACCAAAACTCCACCTTTTGTCCCGCTTTTCCCTTTAAAATCCCAAATGGGGATCAAAAGCTGCGCTCTGAATTCCCAGCCAACAGCAGCGTGTCCCCAGCTGGGGACACACCCCGAGGCGGCCGCCGGATCCTGATGGGAATGGGAAAAGCTGCCCAGCGTCCCCTGATCTGTCCCTGGGGCGCTGGGAACTGCTCCTGAATAAATCCCAGCAGGAGGGAAGGGAAGTTCAGGGAAGGGAAAGGGGAAAAGGGGAAAAGGGGAAAAGGGGAAAAAGGGAAAAGGGGGAAAGGGGAAAACGGAAAAAGGGGAAAGGGGGAAAGGGGAAAGGGGGAAAGGGG